AGAGTTCCAGGTATGCCCAGCAAAGTCAGGGGTGGTGTGGGGAAGACTATGTTAGGGGCTGGGCTGGGCTGAAGCAGTCAGTTGTATGTAAAGGATGTTATGAGGTGGGTGTTTATTAAACTTGAGACTGGTTTGCACCATTCTCTGTGGAGAATAACTGTTTCCCTGTCATTTTATTATTTTGTGCCTGCATGTTGAGTGTGCGTGTTTATGTTTCTCAGATACTGTACTTCCTTCTGCTCAGCTTTCCTATTTTCTATCCCTGTGCGTTGGATAATCTTCCAGGCAAGTCTCAAGGAGGTTGTTGCAGCAGGAGGGCAGAATTCAGCTCTCTCCAGTAAGGAAGGGAAATGTGACTAACGGGTGGTCCAAAAATGGCGACTGCTGCCAAGTGCCCACACCTTAGTGTCAGGCCCCCAGGTACCTTGGCTTGGCATGGAAGGGTGTGATGGCAGCTATTAATTCCAACAGCCCCATCTACGTGGCATTTACAGTGTAAAACTGCTTATCTCACAAAACCCTTACAACAGCTTTATAAAGCACTATGGCCATTCCCATTTTACAGATGACAAACCAAGGCTTAGTGGGATGAAGTCACCTACCCAGGTGACATAAATGGAGAGTGCTGGCAATGTGACTGCCAAATTTGAGTTCTTAATCATCTCAAGAGCCTCCATTTGAAGGTTCTGTCTGAACTTGTTATCTACTTATATCCAGTTTCTTCAAATGTACAAACGTTTCTTCTTAAGCTGCAGCATCTTAAAGAGGGGCAACAATATTAAGAACTTGTAGCTCCTATAGGACTACACACTCTTCTTACACATCTTAGTTTTTTTTTTTTTTTTTTTTTGAGAGAGAGAGAGCATGAGTGAGCACGTGCACAAAAAGGGGAGAGGCAGAGGGGGAGAGAGAGAATCTTAAGCAGGTTCCACATTCAGCATGGAGTCTGTGGGGCTCAATCCCATGACTCTGGGATCATGACCTGAACCAAAATCAAGAGTCATACACCCAACCAACTGAGCCATCCAGGCACCCCACATTTTACTTAATATCCTTAATTTCCATTTCCCTGCAATGGTGTCACATGCTTCTCTTATGCCTTCATGACTTACACATACTCACACAGGCAAAACTATGTATTCTTATTGCTAGTAAATTTAAAAAATCATTATTTTTTAAAATTTTATTTTATTTTTTTTATTTTAGAGAGAGAGAGAGCATAAGCAGGGGAGAAGGGCAGAAGGGGAGAGAGATAAAGATTCTTAAGAATCTCCACACTCCGCTTGGAGCCTGATATGGGGCTTGATCCCATGATCCTGGGATCATGACTTGAGTTGAAATCAAGAGTCGATGCTCAACTGACTGAGCCACTCAGGCTCCCCAAAAAGTCTTTATTAATGAGTTTTATAGGTTGTATGAAATATAACTGGAGTGTTTTTAGAATTCAGATGTTCCCAATCTATAGGAACTAGAAATAAAAAGAAGGGTTAGCCCCTCCTCAGTGACAATAAATGCCTTGAACACTGCAGGATAGAAGAACATGTCTTATACTGAAAGCATGGTTAGGCTCATGCCCCAGCTCTATAGGTGTGACATGGGCAGGTAACTTCACCTCTCTGGGCACCACTTCTTCATCTGTACAGGGGAATTGGATGAACTGACCTTAAAATTCCACTGACATTTTGAGATTCTCTAAACCCTATTCCTTTCCTGCTGAGGACTTGAACTTTTTATAATCACTGTCCTGGGGTTTCTGTGAATGCTTCAAATGGGTTTTCGGGCAGGAGTAGCTGGGAGATTTGAGAAAAATTATAAGAGAGCTCTGCAGGCTGGGAGAAGCAATGATCATGAGATTGTTCCTTCTTTCTTTGATGTAATTTTCACAGAGTTGATGGCTGCCACAGGAACAGGGCTAAAGGTTTATAGACTTTTTGTTTTTCAGCCAAATCAACAACAAAGCACGGTTCTCATGGGTTCGGGGACCTAGAAGTCCCTTTGCCACACACATCCCTGTCCTGGAAATTATAACACGGGGCTCTAGTTCAAGAATAGATTCCCAAGTCCTGGCAGATGGTCCCAGGAATAGTGCTTGCTGATTTGGGTTCAGTAAATTCTATTAAACATCCCCACCCCCATTTCTTGTGTTCAGCGGTTCTTTTCAAAGGAGCAGCCACTTGGGGTAAAACAAACTATTTCTGGTACTGAGCGACATAGCTTTTAATATGATTTTAATGTGGCTTCACAGGATATTTGCATTTTTATGATTTTTCCCCTTATAAGACTGCTTACCAGTAAGGGCTAGAAAATGGGAAGTAAAAAAGCAACATTCTTAGGATGTAGATGATAAAATGATTAGAAAGGGGATAAGAGAATAAGCAGAAAATTGGAAATAAAAATTTCAGGTGAGGTGGTTGGATGAATAAGATATGTATTACTTGAAGAAACTCCAGGCCAAAAAACCCCAAAAAAACAAACCCAAAAAGATGTTAAGGGAAATTCAGAGGCTAAGTCTCTAAGGCTAAATCAAAGGCAGCATTCCTAAAAGTACTTTAGAAAGGTTGACATCCTTAAGTAACACCTCCTACCCCTCCTCACATGGCCCCAAGAGAAGATTGTTATAAAGAAAAGCCATATGAAATTTATTATTTTATCTATTCAGGGATGATGTATCTCTTCTAGTAGGGTGTAACAAAGGAAAAGGCATGCTTCTTCTCTAAATGATCTGTCTGAGTTTTCTTTTAAATACCATGAAACTTATCATGGATCATGACTGTTTCTTTCCTTTTGTCACTAAGAATTCCCAGAACAAAATGTAATCACTGTAAGGACTGGATAGTACACACTTGATTATGTTTTACTTTTTCCTATCCTATTTCCCTTTCTCCTTAATATCATTAATTATTTATATTTATTCATCTTTTACTGTTTATTTGTTTTGAGAGAGAGAGAATGTGAGCAGGGGAGGAGAAGGGGAAAGAGAGAGAGAGAGAGAGAGAATCCCAAACAGGCTCCTCGCTGCCAGCGCAGAGCCCAACATGGGGCTTGGTCCCATGATTTTGGTTCATGACCTGAACCAAAATCAAGAGTCAGATGCTTAACCGACTGAGCCACCCAGGTGCCCCTATTTATATTTATTCTTATAACCACCTACAAAATCTTTTGTGGAAGGAAGTTAGCATATACCTAGATACTTATAAACAGAGATAGGCAGATAGAGGTAGATATAGATTAAGGACTTAAATGGGTATGAGATGCTTCCTGTGCAGACATGTGTTTATTTATCAATGGTCTTCTCTCTATATATAGATAGCTACTAATGTTGACAAGTTAGTGAGAAAACTTTCAAGTAATCTTTGATTTGAGATAATCTTAAAAAAAACCAAACAACCCAAAACAACTGGTAGAAGCTACTTGTGAGACAGTTCAGCTTTAGGGCCCAAACGCTGTGGTAAGATTTGAGCACCTGGGTCCTTTGGAGGAATCTGGAATATAGGTTTACCTCCTTAAAACATAACAGCATTAGAGGGGCGCCTGGATGGCTTAGTTGGTTAGGTGTGTCTGACTTCGGCTCAGGTCATGATCTCACTGCTCATGAATTCGAGCCCTACATTGGGCTCTGTGCTAACAGCTCAGTGCCTGGAGCCTGCTTCTGATTCTGTCTTCATCTTTCTGCTCCTCCCCTGCTCACACCCTGTCTCCCCCTCTCTCTCAAATATAAAAAATAAAACATAAAAAAATTAAAACATAACAGCATTAGAGATTCAGACACAAGGCATTCATTTCTATGTTCACAACAGATTCTGAGGACTTAGCACTACAATTTCAAAGAAATTATTTTCTAAAAACACTGTTGCCCTTCCCAGTGTAGGCTCACACACACAATGACAACCAGGAAAGGCTTTGCAAAACAAACTACAATGTCTTATAAATACACACAATTGTGCATAAGGACTCTCAGACAACTGCAAGTGTGATTCATGAGTACTCACTACAGATAAAATATTTCATGGAAAAGATGTCAAAGCCAATAGACCTAATAGTTTCAGATGGTGCTAGAGGATTCCTCTAGCTGGACCAGGGTCTGCCATTTGAGTTAGACTTTCCCATGAACAAATGGCCTTGAAGAGGCACAACATATGCCCCAACACCACTGATTTCTGAACTTTTCATTTGGTTGTGGGTACAAGTCTAGGTAGGCAGCAATGGCTGTAGATAAAGGAGCAATTGGAACAACTGAACAATTATGAAGCTACAGATACCACCTTGCAGAGCCATTTTTCTGGAAGTGAGATCTCTTTCTTTTTAAAAAATGTTCATTTATTCTTGAGAGAGCAAGAGTGAACATGAGTGGGGGAGGGGCAGAGAGCAAGAGAGACAGTGACAGAGGATCCAAGGCAGGCTCCAGGCTCTGAGTTGTCAGCACAGAGCCCAATATGGGGCTCAAACTCACAGACCACAAGATCACAACTTCAGCCAAATTCAGATGCTTAACCAGCTGAGCCACCCAGGCACCTGGAAGTAACCACCTGACTTAACAATCACCCAGAGGCTTAGGGGATCTCCTAAAATTACTGATTTCAGAGTGTCACTCCAGCCCTAATAAATCAGTGTATTTGACTTAAAATACATTAATGTTTGTACCTGTGCTCCACCCCATGATTAATAACAATTATTTTTATAGAAGCTATATATAAAATAAAATACCATGGTTCTAATCCTGAAACTTAATTTGTCAAATTTTCAGAAATGACATGATAGTTCTAGTTTATTCTTTTTAAGGAGATAACAAGTGGCAAGAAGTTAAATTACGAGTGGTAAATCTAGAACAAAGCAGCCAAGTTAGAAAGGAAGATTCTAATTCAGCATTGGCAGAGTCGGAAATAAAGCACGGCTTCCTGATAAAGGTGGTGGGGTTTTGCTAAGAATCTACCTAACACCAAACTTAGGTAGGAAAAGGAAAACAAAAAGGAGCATCCCTCTTTTGACATCATAGAACTTACTGCCATCGGGCTTTATCCCTTAAGGAATTTTTCCTGGAGCTGTTCCCCTCAATGGGGCTGTCCTCCTCCTCGGCCTCCAGACTTCGACTGCAGCTCCTGATGATCTGAAAGATGTTGTTGACTGTGGACTCCTTATCTGAATTCTTCAAGCCATTAGGTCCCACTCGTTGTAAGAAATTATCTTGTCCACTGTAATCAGCTACAAACTACAGGAAAACGTACCAAGAGTTTGTTACTGCAACTTCACGTACTGTGTCTTAAATAACCTACTTGGAGAGGGAAATAAAATCACAGAAGCCGTAAATAATGGCACTTGTGCCTATTTTTTATTGAAAGAAAAAGAAAAAGCCTCCAGGAAAAACATTTTTTCCTTTCACCACATGAGCTATCGGAACTCACTCTTGTTTCCACTAAGACAATTTTAGTTCCTGTAGGAATCAACACTCCATTTCAAATTTACAAGACAAAAAGTAGTATTATTTCAAGGCTCCCAAGGGAGAAGATTAGCCCCACTTTGCAGAGGAAAGGTAGGGTTGTTTCCTCCTGGTGGAGAGAACTGAGAAAAACCACGACAGAAGTCCATTCTTTTATAGAACCAGATAGCTTTCCTGGGGCCCAAGGAGAACATGGAGAAAGGACAATGTTCGCTTTATTACCCATATATCCTACGGTAGCACAGAGGCTTCCTGGAGGTTTTAAACTATTATAGTCTGTATTCGTGATCAGGGACTTTCTCCCATCAGAGGTAAGTACCCCAGCTGTGTCACTGGATGTGGCATCCTCTGCATCTAAGACCCAAGGGAGCTGGCGTGGGTGCAGCTTGGCAGGGCTTGAGTTGAGCTTTCTCCTCCATTTATTGCATGTTTATCTTCCTGCATAAGCCAGAGAGATGCAAACTGGTAGTGTTGCCTGTACTTACCAGGGGCTCTTAAGTCTCCCTGATACCAGGTGATGCCTGGTTCCCAGGTGACACGGAAGAGGCTGAAGTTTTAGGAGTCTTCCCAAGGCCACGAGGAGGGGTGTATGTGAGTGTGCATGTGTGTATGTGTGTGTATGTGTTAGAGGTCAGTAGTGGTGCTGTTGCCATGGTGACAATGACCCTAGATTTGGGTTTGGAACTGTCAGCTACGGGACTCCTCAAAATTCTTGGTAAAGTTCTCCCCAATTCAGTCTCTTCTTTTATTTCTAAACACCATCTAGGGAGGTTTCTTTATTTTCCAGTTTCTCAAAGCCCCTTCTCTCCAATGCCTGATACCCTGAGTCAAAGCTCACAAGGTCCTCTCCCCTCTAGGGATCAAGAACGAGAAGCCAAAGGCTTGGGAGAGCTGGTGCAGCTGTGATCAGAGCCTGGTGGTCATCTTTCCATGTGACACCAGCTTCTCCAGGGTCCTCCCACAGAGAGGGAGAGCAAGGAAGCATTGACCTCCTGCCATGTTTTCTTTCCCTGATTCAGAAAAGTTACTCCTCTCACTTGACTTATCCTCTGTGTCTAGAATCATTCCCACCCAGAATGTAAACTGGTACAGCCCCTCTGGAAAACAGTGTGGAGGTTCCTCAAAAAATTAACAATAGAACTCCCCTATGACCCAGCAATAGCACTGCTAGGAATTTACCCTAGGGATACAGTAGTGCTGATGCATAGGGGCACATGTACTCCAATGTTCATAGCAACACTCTCAACAATAGCCAATACATGGAAAGAACCTAAGTTTCCATCAACTGATGAATGGATCAAGAAGATGTGGTTTATCTATACAATGGAATACTACATGGCAATGAGAAAGAATGAAATCTGGCCATGTGTAGCAACAAGGATGGAACTTGAGGATGTTATGCTGAGCGAAATAAGTCAGGCAGAGAAGGACAGATACCATATGTTTGCACGTATAGGTGGAATAGGAGGAACTTAATGGAGGACCATGGGGGAGGAGAAGGGGAAAAATAGGTGGGGAGAGAGGGGAGGCAAACCATGAGAGACTCTTGAATGCTGAGAAGAAACTGAGGGCTGATGGGGGTGGGGGAGAGGGGAAGGGGGGTGATGGGCATGGAGGAGGGCACTTGTGGGGATGAGCACTGGGTGTTATACAGAAATCAACTTGACATTAAACTATTTAAGAAAAAAAAAATAGAATCATTCCCACCCAATGAGAAAAGAAAACCCCATCAATCCTTAAAAAAAAAAAAAATTAGAGAACAACACCCATATCTACTGGTACTTACACATTGCCTCATTAAAGCTAATTTAACAAGAATAAGCCCCAAACAGTGCTAGCTGGCACTCTTTTATCCGGAACTTCCAAGGACCCAACACAACAGTGACAACGGATTACCCTAGGCTCAGCAGGTTATCTCCTGGCTTTAGTGTGTGAGGAGCTAGGTGGGAATAGACTTCAGATTCTGAAAGTCCTCACCTCTAGAGTTTCTTCTTGGGAATTATACCTCGGGCAAAGCTTCATGAGGCCAGAGGCTCCATCCAGTACTTCACAGAGCTCCTTCAGAAACACCCCACAGAATGGAACCACTTTACAGCCAGGTATGTGCAGAGCCCGTGTGACCACCTTCTTGTACTCGCAGGAAGATTCGTGCTGAGCCATGGCGTCCTTCAGGCTCCTCATGGTCTCCAGGTCAGACTGGTCCATAAACTGCCACATTTTTAAAACTTTTCTTGACCTATTGCAAATAAATGATGTTTATTGAGAATGAAGGAGAAATAATATAATAGTCTGCAGTATAAAGCCCAAATTCCATACAAATTCATTCTTTTGGCCTCAGTTTTCACTGTTTTAATATTTATTTAGGACTCCTATCTCCACCTACTTCCCCAAATGAGGTATTAATCAAAAATTGAAACAAAAAATTAAATAGGACAGGTACAAATAACACACGTGGAAGGAGTTAATTTTGGAAGATGGGCACTAAATCTAGGTTTGAGCTTTTCTGGCAGTTAAAGCTGAAAGGGAAACCCAATGGGTCATACGGTTTGTGCAGATATTTATGGAGGACTGTCTGCAGAAAGCATGGTCCGTCCAGTCCTCTTGATCTTTTAAATGTTATCCTCGGATTAGGCCAGTCTCTCAGTAATATAAGTGAAACCTGTTTGGGCCTCTTTTATAGAATTGCTTTTGTTAATTCCGTTTTTGACATTAAGCCACAGGCTCTCCTAAGGGATATGATCTTAAAATACTATTTGCATGACTGGATGTTAGATGGGCCTTTTCCTATGATGAACTTGCTGCTGACAATAACAGGTGACACTGTACCCCACTTCCTAAGGGAGGCACCTGGTCATCACAAGGATACCTCAACTGTTCTGCCCTCTGTGGTCTATAACTGTGCATCAGCTCACACAGAGGAACTGGGTCTGAGCAGCCAGGCAGGGAATATTTCTCTGGATAGAGCTGTCAGAGTGCTATATGTGAGAAAGAGGAGGATCATCCTCGGGATAGGGGGCTTCAAGTGAACGCCATGGAGAGGTTGACCTCTGTCCTGAGTTTCTTGATCACAGAGTCTGGTGTGTGACTCCTGCTTGGAAAAGTGTAAAGATGACAGGCTGCCTAGGCCTGCCTGAAGGTTCCAGTGGGCCTGTCCTGCATTTGCAGAATCTGAGAGGGCAAAGCATTATGCATCTCCTGTGAGTCTGGAAGGGCCACAGTGTGGGGCAGTTCCACGTGTCCACGTGAGCTGTGTAGAAAGACCTAGCAGAAAGAGCCTGTCATGACAGGGCCTCCAGAGCTGAGTCCTGGAGACTGAGGACGCCTTGCTCCTTGCTGACTAATGCTGCAGTGGGAGGTACCTAGAGGGCAGCAGGTGGGGGAACACAGGAGGAGTACCTGGGAAGAAACCCTAAAAGCACACCTGTCTTTGGGAGCACCTAGGCTGGACCATAACTGTCCCCGTCAAGTGAGACCTTTGTGTCCTTTACCCCATCTCCCTTCCTCTTTCTTCTCCCATCCCCTTTTTCTGCAGGGACCCTGAGCTGGAGGGAGAAAAGAAAAACCCTGTTCTCCTTCTCCACTGCAGGTTTCTGAGACTGTTCGGGCTGTGAAATGTGGGGGAAAGGTGAAGCTTTAAACCAAATGAGAGGTTGAAATTTTGATTTATATCAGACTGGATTAAAAAATCACTATGTCCTAGAGAAGACATTCAAAGGACATAGAGAAGTACAACATGACAAACACCCATGTACCAACCCTTCAATTAAAAAAATAAAACACTGGGCTCAGCTCAGGTCATGATCTCACAGTTTATGAGTTCGAGCCCGATGTTGGGCTCCGTGCTCACAGCTCAGAGCCTGGAGCCTGCTTTGAATTAGGAGTCTCCCTCTCTCTGACTCTCCCCTGCTCTCTTCCTCTCTCTCTCTAAGAAATAAATAAATATTTTAAAAAAATTAATAATGTGGTTGAGACCCCCGTGGACTCCTCCAGGAGCACATACTCCTCTCTCCCTCATGGAAGGGGACCACAACTGTACTTTAGTGTTTTCCTTCCCTTACAATTGTGTATGCTTCCCCCAACAAAGGTATATATCACTCAGCAGTTTGTAACATTGTGTGTGTGCTTTTAAACTTTATCTAAATGGCATCACATACTGTAGGTACTCAGGCATCTTGCTTTTCTGGCACAGCTGTATGCTTCGGAGATTTATTCATGCTCATGAGCAAAGGAGAATGAGACAAGTTATTGACCCCATCAGTGACTGGGAAAGCTACAGGACCTCCCAAGGTATAACCCAGAGCCAGGGAGGGAAATCCAATCAAGCAGGTTTGAAAGACAGTGAGTTCAGAAAACTAAAATTGTTTCCTGATTTCACCCCTCTGAGTCCAGCCTGCCCTACACCTGGTTTCTTATAAGGTGGTAAGAATCCTTTTTGGGGGCATGAAATGGAAGCCTAAATAAACTTAGTGAATAAATGAGTGAGACATGGTTCCCATTATTTAATCGTCCTTGTTTCTGTGGGTGACAGAGTAGTCACGGTACATAGGGGCACAAGATAAACTTCAGCAAGATCAGTGGGTTTTTATTAGATTGAGAATTGGCACTGTTTTAAAACTTTCATTTCTTGCTCTGCTTATAAAGATACTAGATGCTGTTGTAGAAAACCTGGAAAATACCAAAAATATAGAAAATCCACCTACAGTTCTACCATCCACAGAGAATATTAGGTATATCTCCTTCCAGTATTTATTCTACTTGTAGATGTCTGTTCTAAATGTTTTATAATTGTTGTTGAATAAATATTGCTGAGGTTATTAAGTACACACAGCCTTGTTCCCAGATATGTGTTTGCATTATATATTACCTGTTTTCCAATGATATTAAACATTTTTCATAAACGTTTTTGGTGGCTAAATAATAGTCCATTGTAAGAATGTATCATGTTATTTCCTTCATTTCCCCACTGATGTTTGTTTGGGTTATTTTCATTTTTATTTTTTTAAATGTATTTATTTATTTATTTAGAGGGGGAGGGGAATAGAGAGAGAGGGAGAGACAGAACCCCAAGCAGGCTCACTCTGTACTGTCAGCACAGAGCCTGACATAGGGCTCGAACTCATGAACTATAAGATCAAGACCTGAGCCAAAATTCAAGAGTCAGATGCTTAACCAACTAAGCCACCCAGGGGTCCCTGGGTTGTTTTAAGTTGACACCATGATTGAGTAAATATTGTTATTTGTGTATCTTTTTTTACTTTGAATTGTTTCCTCCAATGATCCATACTTCTCTGTGTAGCGTAGATACCACCCACAATCAACTAGTGCTAGTCTGATGTGACCAACGTGGCAAAGTGATAGTGTGTGACTTCTGAGGCTGGGTCATAAAAGGCACTGCAGCCTCTGCCTTGTTTTCTTGTCTTTTACTTCGGAGCAAGCCAGCTCTCATGCTTTGAGGACAGTGATGTCCAGAAGAGAGGAAGTGAGGTCCCCAGCCAGTAGCCAGTATCCACTTGCCAAACACAGAGGAGAAGTGTCATTAAAATAGAATTATGTTATCATAATATGATCATTTTTTTAAAGAAAAATAGTAGAGGTTCTTGGTAGAAAATTTATCCCAAAGAGAATCCAATCATCCAAATCATCTCCTGTTCTCCCAGTATTTTTTCTATTTTTTCCTTCTTTTGAGCCATGCCTGACACATTTGTATGACCATTTTAAATGACAATGACACATGATTATCTGAATTTATTCTTAGTTAAGAAAGTTCAAAAGGACAAAAAAATTTCCAACTCTGAGAATTTTCCTTTCTTTCCTCAACCAGGAATCCCATTGCAGGGATTTGGAGACCTAAAGAAAAATCTCAATAAAGTTAGGAAGCAAGATCTATTTATAGTAAGAACCCTCACTGGGAAGGTGAATCTCAGACACTAAGAACAAAAGGTTCACTTTATGGAGCCTCACTGCATGCAAAACCTGTGTGCTAAACACTATACTATCTCACTAAATCCTGGATGAGGGTAGGTGCTTTTTATTACTATCCCCATTTTTCAGATAAAGAAACTGGGGCCCACTGAGGTCAGGTAAATTGCCTAGACCACATAGATATTCCACGGAGGAGCCAGAATTTGATTCCCTATTATTCTGACCCAACAACTCATGCTCTTCTTCCTCATACCACACTGCCTTCCATTACAAGTGAGGGGCAGTTACTTTATGCCAGGTAACTGAGGCTTGGAAGGGAATAAGACAGAAGACTTAATTGATAAAGTGATGATCTTATTAGTAGCTTAGTGGAGAAGGCATAAGAGCAGGATATCAGAGGTTAAGGGCAAGGGCTCTCAAAATCAAGGCTGCGTGCATTCATATCCCAGCCATGCCAGGTGGCCTTGGGTGATTGACTTAACTTCTAACTTTAGTTCCTTCTTTTGTAAGATGTAGGAATAATAATAGTATCTACCAAAAAACTGTTCTGAGAATTAAAATATTTAATGCATAGGAAATACACAGTCCAATGCTTGATACATAGTAAGTGTTCAATAAAAATAAGAGCTATTTTTATTGAATGCTTATTATCAATGTTAGCCATTCCCAGGAGGTGGCTGGGACTCTACAGTCCTGAGGCAATTCATAAGGCAGAGCTGGGAAGAGATAGATAACAGTGGGGTTTACAGGACACAGAGAGTAAGTAGGGGTCAGTGATGGGGCTGATGTAGCTATGCAAGCAGGAAATTTTACCCAGCTTGGTCAACAGCATTGGATCAGAGCAGACACAGCTAATTAGGACTGTGACTGGCCACAGGGGCTGAATCCTGCTGCATCTTTGAGGGGCAAGGTTTGTGGTGGTAGCAAAGGATAATGGATTTCCCGCAAATAGTCACTACTAAGTGCCTGGTTTGGGTAAATGTGGTTACTAGGACAATTAATTCAGTGCCATTCAGCTTGGACCCCGATAACTGTATTTCCCACTCCCATACCTGAGGCCGGCCAAGAACTCCATGACAGCATTGTAGTTGCCCATGTTCCAGCAGCATTTGGCCACGTGCACTAAATAGGAGAAGACTTCTCGCTTCTCCTCCATGGAGCCCGCCGTAAGGATCAGCCACGTCACCCAGGAGCTCACCTAGAAAATGCAGAGAGGGGATCCACTGAGCCTATGTCCTGCAAACTCAATGAATACTTTTTTCTACAGGAACTCTTTTTCTTTTCTTTTTTTTTAAAAATGTTTAATGTTTAAAAAAAATTTTAATGTTTATTTTTGAGAGAGAAAGAGACAGAGCACGAGCAAGGGAGAAGCAGGGAGAGAAGGAGATACAGAATCGGAAACAGGCTCTAGGCTCTGAGCTGTCAGCACAGAGCCCGACACAGGGCTCAAACCCATGAACTATGAAATCATGACCTGAGCCGAAGTTGGAAGCTTACCTGACTGAACCACCCAGGTGCCCCACTCTTTTTCTTTTTTAAAAATCAGTTTAGTATTAGGAAATGAAAGGCCCAGCTGAGGGATCTGAGGTGAATCTCAGCGGCTCCATCATTGTTTTGCTATGGGATTCTGGGAAAGTCACTTCACCTCTCCATATTCTTTGTCTTTAAAGTAAGGAGGCTGAAAGGTAATTCAGGAACTCCCTCTTGATCTATAAAATTCCACGAGACTATAAGGAAATAAAGCCCAAAGAATATTGATTAAAATACATATAAATACATTTGACTGATGGATAGCAAGATTAAATGCAGTTAATGTGCTTAATCCATAAGTAAAAGAACACTTGATTTTTTAAAATGTTTTATTTATTTCTGAGAGAAAGAGAGGCAGACATCATGAGCAGGGGAGGGTCAGAGAGAGAGGGAGACACAGAATCTGAAATAGGCTCCAGGCTCTGAGCTAGCTGTCAGCACAGAGCTCGATGTAGGACTCGAACTCATGAACTGCGAGATCATGACCTGAGCCAAAGCCAGACACTTAACCGACTGAGCCACCCAGGTCCCCCAAAAGAACATTTATCAAGTAGTAAAATGCATGCTTTTAAATAAAAAATGCCAAAAAAATTATATATTTAAACTATCTTTGATAAATGCATTATCTATTTTGTTCCTCAAATGACTAATAATGAACAAATACTTATATAGCACTTACTATGTGCCAGGAATTATTCTAAGCACTTTACATAAGTTAACTCATCTCTCACAATAATCTGGAGCAAGGGATTGTTATTATCCTCATGTTATAGATGAGGAAACTGAAGGATAGAGGGCCTAAGACATTTGCTCAAGTCTTCAACCCAAAGTGGTAAAGCCTGAATTTGAATTTAGGTGTGTGTTCCCCAGAGGTGGCACTATTAACCACTCTCTAAATGCCTAATGTGTATACACAAGCTCTGGGATGAAAGTTATTCTAATGTGGTTAGTTTTCTCTACTACACATACTAGAGTATAATATTTAATAATAACCCACTCCTAAGTCCCTCCCCCCTTTTATGATATGCAGCCTCAAAATCCTCTGCTTAATCTCTACGATTATTTTGCTGTTACCTATACTTTGGGGCTTGAATACTAGTGTTCATTTAAGTTACGTTCTCCCTCCTGGCTAATGTCTGGGCTGATAAACTCTGTTGTTAACAAACTAAAGCCTTGGTCTTGACCCCACATGGCCCATTAGCTGCACTGGTTCAGTAAGAGTGCTGACACCAATTTATTTCCCTGGTCTGAGGGAGAGTGAGGCCGGGACACTTGCTCGTGTTGACCCATGACAACTGCACCCAAAAAAGAGTTTAAGGTCTACGGCACAGTGCACTTCCCTCCCACCCCCACCACCCCCATCGATAAAATGGTAGGAACGAATGACATTTAGTGCTAGCAGCAACCACAGAGGGCAGTCCAAACCCATTCTTCCAGATGAAGAATCTATGGCTCATGGGAGAAGTGATCTTCTGAGGTCACACTTCTTGTTAATGTCAAAAGTAGGACTCCAGTGCGGTACTCTTTTATCTGATGAGGGGTGACAGTTTCTTTAAACTTGGCACCAGTTATGGGGCGCCTGGGTGGCTTAGTCGGTTAAGCGTCTGACTTTCGCTTAGGTCATGATCTCGCGGTTCGTGGGTTCGAGCCCCGAGTCGGGCTCTGTGCTGACTGCCAGCTCAGAGCCTGGAGCCAATTTCGGAGTCTGTGTCTCCCTCTCTCTCTGGCCCTCCCCTGCTCATGCTCTCTCTCTCTCTCTCCTAGAAATAAATAAAAATATTTAAAAAAAAAAAAAAAAAACTTGGCACCAGTTAGGTTTTTCTAAGCACTTGGTTAAGAGCTGCACATTTGGACACAGAGTTGGACTAAAACGAGAAGATACCAAGAAGAGTATCGAAAAAATAATTCAAGCAATGTAAAAAGGAAAAGAGAAGAAAGAGATGCTAAACACCTTTTCCCCTTTCCTACACAGAAATAAAAAGCCAAATAGTGGATCCTTCAGTGATAAAACAGGGTCACACTGTGGGACCAGCCAGGAGTGCTGATGCAGGATGTGAGGAACCACCCGTCACCCTGAGCCCTTGCCCCAGCCTGGTGGGCTCCGAGCATGCACCTCTGCTCTCAGCCTGCTCTGGACCTGGTTCAACATCAGGAGAATAGATCTAGAATCAGACTCCTAGGACAAGTCCTGGTACAGATCATTCTGCAAGGAATTCAGAGCCTCTTAGGAAGAAAATAAGCTAAGATGACCATTTGTTCTAATCTCCCAGGGCTGTTCTGAGCACACAGGAACCTTCTGGAGTCCCAGAGCCATCCCTTCTCCTGCAGCTATAAGCGATCCCTTGCTCACTGTCTCTATGCCTTGTCCCCTCATCACCTGGTTACCCAGTGAAAAGTCACCTTTGTGAAGCCCTGGTTCTCCAGAGCAAGAAACTGTTTTGTCAGTAGCGACTGAGTGTTGCTGGTGTTCAGTGTAGTTCTTCCTTTCATGCGATTTGCCTTTGATAAGCCCTATCCTGCTCTGGGAAACCATGAGCTAACACACAGAATCATAAAATTATTGACTCTTTGAGCTAGAAATTCAAACCCATATCCTTACAAAGGAAATAAATCCCCCAAAGTTAAAAGTTTCCCCAAAGACACCTGATGCATTAGTTCTTGAGACCTCTGGCCATATTCCTCTCATGGCTTTAGTTCCTTTTTTACTGAAACTGATGGCCAATCAGCAGCTCTGGAGAGTCACTGCTTTTCTAGGCTATTCTGGTCCCACACAGTGACTTACTAGTCTCGTGGCCTGAAAGGGTTAATTCATCTTCCCAGCTTCACAGAACAGAGCAGGCGCAGATCACCGCGTGGTTTGTGCCTCAATCCTGATCATGCATCCAGATTTATTTCCTATCAGTCAAATCATTTTCCATATACTTTCCCACAATGCTAGGAAAAAAATAGCGATACAGTATTTCACATGGAAACCTAATTTAAACCAGCCGTTCCATCTCTGAGTGTGAGTCCCCAGGGCCTGGTTGTTGAGATTATGTAAGCACTGTTATCACAAACACACACACACACACACACACACACACACACACACACACACACACACCATCTGCTTACAGACTTCAAGGACAAAAAAAATCTTATTGTGGGCTAATGTATTTATAATTTCATAGGTATTAAGTGATGAGACTTTCCTCACTAATTATGAAAGATAAATGTCACAAAAAAACCCACAAGGATTTGGCAATGATTGAAACATGTTGCCCAAAGCATCAATGGTGGTCATATTTATTAAGTGGAAAATGGGATGTGTTGCCAATCCAGAAAGAATTTCAGGACACTGAAATCACACAGAAAAACACAAAAATTACAAACATGGAAAGTACTAAAACCCAAGTATAGAGAAGAAAGGTGTTAAATGTGGCAGAATACTTTGCCCTATTTGAATGGTCAGCACAGGAGAAAGACCGAATCTGGCCCCCAGCCCGATTCCATAAGAGTCCCCCCCCTCCCGCCCCCGAGGTTCTGTGCTTAACCTGAGGGCCTGACCCCGGGTATAGGCCTACAAACCCCCCCATAACTGCTCCTCTCCAGATGCTTTTTTTCTTCCTCTTTTGCCTTCGTCAGTACTCTTAGGCCTAGCCAAGCTCAACAGCTTGCTCTGCTCACATCAAACACCTTGTTGGTATCATACAAGCTCATTCTGGAAGGAATGTTTTTGTTCCATTCATAATTACCTTTCCCTGGCCCCCACCTTGTCCTGCCCGTGTCCTTTGTAAAGCCAAATCCTACCTTGGCCACAGGCCCCTGTTGGTTCTGCAACCTCACTTTTGTTCTTTCTCCACATTCCTGCTTTTAGGGAGATGACCAAGGCCTTTTCTCATTTCAGGAGTCTTCTATGGGAAGGGTCTCCCTGGCCCTCGAACTTTGATTTAGCTAAAACTGCCCTCAGACTCTGCAATCAGGACCTTCCCTGGGCCCCATGCTTTAGCAGGCCTGTGTTGGGGTGGAGGGAAATGGTCTGCCCAGAGGCTGTGTACCCACTTCTAGATCATTCATCCCTGAAGACCCAGAACCCCTAAGTCCTCTGTCTAAACAGCTCAAGCCTACTTCTCGGCCTGCAAGAGCCTTGTATCTGGATCAGTCCTCCTGTGGGGAGATCATAACTCCAGGCCCAAAGGCTGGCCAAGGGCCTGTGGGGCTGTGGTGTGTAGATGGAGTTTGATCTGGAGGTCTGAGGTGTCCACACCCAGGCACACAAGTCAGGATGGAAAGAGAAGGTGGGCAGGCCACAGGCTGGGGCCTTCTTGCTTCGCCCTCTGTACTTCATCCTGGCTCCTGTAAAATTAGGGGCAGGGCTGCCTTTAGGATTCTGATGGAAGCATCACTTTCTTGAGGAGGATGCTCTGATTAACTATTCGGGCTGGGTCCCCACATTGGGGTATGTGGTGCCCCCAGTCTCCTTGACCCCAGGCCCCCTGCACAGTCAGCACTGTGTTCCCCCAAAAGCAGAACGTGGGTCTGCCATGTTCACCAGTAGCAGTGCCCACAGTAAGTGTTTGATGAGACATGGCAAAGGAGTGAACATGACCTCTAGGAAGGCTCTTCTGATGCTCACCTAGCAACTCACATTCAGCTTCTTCCTGTGACTTAATGGTGGACCCTGAGACC